AGTAATGATATTGCATCCGTATCCATATTCTCCCCCTTTCTCCAAGGAGTTTTTTTTTTTTTGTTGATTTTGAGGAACGAACGGAGAGTGTCTTTTTTTTTTTTGTCGTGACTTCTCTTATGCGTCCGATTGGTCAAGAGTATTTCCTCCTTCACGCAAGATCAAACGTGACTTTTCGGCCGACAGAGTGCGCAAGACGTTTCCGGAGGTGACAGCGCAGGCGGAAGGAAAGAGGATATGTGTCGGGAAAAGGGGTAGACGTCCAGCCTTATTCTGCTGATCCTCATGCCAAAAGGACGAATACAACGGTGTTACAGCACGGGCGTATTTTCATGTCTCACGCATGGATCTACGTGCATTCTCTAGCACTGCGCATCTTGATTTTCCCTCTAGCTGAGAGCGGCTGAATGTATGTATGTATGCTCTGTTCGGACTTAAACGGCTGAGCCTGCTCAAAATGCTGCACAATATGTGAATACGAAAATCGACGAAATGGGAGAAATGTGGGATGTGGATCAATTAATGATTGAGCGCATTAGTATCCAAATGGCATCATATATTTGGGAAAGCATTGAGCGGGTGCTTCGGCATGTAAAGCGCAAGAGGGGATAACGGCTAACAAGCCTACCACTGAATCGTAGCCCGCACACCCGTTTTCCCACGAAATCTTCATCAATAGGCATGGCACTGCTCAGCCCTGGTCAGCAAGCCTTGCTGCTTAATCCGATCTCGCGTGTCGTGATATTTATTGATCGGATTTGGTTAGGGTGCGTGCCACACCCGCTGTACTTCTTCACCAGCGTTCTAACCTAATACAAAGTATGATAAAAAGCTCGCTATTATTGATGCTCAAGGTTCAGCATGATTTGACTTCTAGTGAAGAAAAACACTCGTCTGCATTCTCTACAAGCAGCTGCAAAAGTGCATTCATCCTGAATTATTTTGTTTCAGCCTTTTTTTTTTTTTTTTTTTTTTGGTTGAACCCAACTACATATGAGAGCAGTTTTTGCTCAGGTCGCCGCCACTCACAATTGTGCAGTTCGCAAGGATCCAGGGGTCATCAAGGTTCCGCTAGTAGGCCATGGTTATTCAGATTCTGCAATTAGCTACTTTTAACTGCATGTCCATACTCATGAAAAAACTCAATCAACATGGGTCGATGTTAGTTCTTACCTCACTTATTGATAACTCGGGATGAAGCTATCCATGTATTCGCGGACTTGCTCCCACAAAGGGGAAAAGAGCACGCATATACACACCACCGGCCATGCCGCTCACGAAATAACCGCTCGCCCCTTCCACGGAAGCAGCCGTGGGTGCGGGCGGGAAGTCCCCTTCAGCCTCCAAATGATGCATCTCGCCTCACCTTCCAGTCCTTTCGCTACACCCTGTGAGTCTACTCTCCTGTCATGACTTCCCAGTCAACGTGCAGGTTGTTTCCCCTCTTCATTTTGAATCGTTCATGGGCTGACCTTTGAGAAATTTTCTCTGCTTAGCGTAGTATTCTTAGACAATTGTGCCTTGAGAATCATAACTAAAGGTTGCACTCTCTTCACCCTCCTGCGCCACATTGTTAGCGCTCAAGTACCCTGACGTTTAACGAGCCCCATTGAGCCCCACCAACAAAGGCCCCAAGAGCGGAAGCAGAGCGATGTGGCTTCAACATTGCGGGGTGTAACGGAGACTGATTGGGCTATTGTTTCTTGCTAGATATTTTGCTGCATGGAAATTGCAAACCGCCGTCTGTGTAAGATACAGGTTTTTCAGTACCATACAGAATTCGGTGACAACTCAAACATCAATTGTATCATAACAAATACGGTATGTCGGGACGGTTGATGTCGTATGCATCGTATTTCTGGCAAGGGAAATACACGCGTTGTCGGGAAGATGAGGCTTCGGAGGAGCCCACGAGGAGCCCTGGAGAGGAGATTCGGGAACGGTTGGCTGTGACGGGGAAAAGTTGGTCGTGGCAAATGAACAAGCAGCGAGGACCATCCTTCACTGCTTTCCTGGCGGTTTTTTTTTTTTTTTTTTTTTTTTTTTGTTTTGTTTGAGCCCCACTTCTTCTTGAGTCACAAGAAATGCTGAAACACCTTCACCTACTACCAGGAGAGATTTCTGATAATAGAGCCGGTGGTACCCAACCAGCTGGAACCTTCGTGCATCCTAGCGATACTGTCGTCATTTCTATCCCATGTGCCCCAATGGGGGCCTGGTGCAGCATGGCCTCATTCTTGTTTCCCCGCAGGTTGTATTGCGATGTTACTTCTTCTTTATTTCTCTTTTCGAAATATTTCTTCCACTTCCACCCGTCTCTCCAAGAAAGAAAGCACCTGCCAAGCGCGGGCCCCTTCTCCTCTGAGGCTCCTAAGTTACTGGGGTCTTGTCCTTAGGTAAAAAATGACAACCACGGAGACATCATTTGCGATGTTTCACCGCAAAGGGGCCATCAAACTAACATTATCATCCCACCCTTCACATCTGAACTAATGCCCCTTCTTGTTGGAGAATTGGACTTTTGCCACTAGGCTAAAAGGAGAATTTCCCCAAATTAGCAGGGCGGTCCAGTGATGTTTTCAGGTTGATGTCATTGTAACAGAGGGAATCACAACATGAAACGATCGCCTATGGGGATGCACATACTCATGATTTATATTGAAATGTACTGTGTATGTATAGAACGTCTGATTTATATTACTAGTTTGCCCTATCGACAGGCGCCTGTTCTCATCGCATTATTGCTGTTCTCAGTCCATCCCGACAACACTGGCAACTACTAGTAGTCGTCAAGGGCTAACTCTGCTTCTTGCGTCGCTGGCCTTCCTAATCATCAATGATCGAGAGACAAAAAGATATCATTGTATTCCTAGACCATATATTTTATGGCGGCTCCTGCGGCGGACAGGGTTGTTCCACATACATGTGCAACTGTACTCCGTATTGTCCATTGGGTTCCTGATGGGGTTAACTCCTTACATTAGGTACGGAGTAGAATTTGGTTCAGTCACATATGTAAGCGCTATACGGTGTGTTTTGGTGAATACTTTCTCGCTCGTGTGAATCCCGGCAAATTGGTAACATGTTTTCTTTACTCATTTCATTCTGTTTCTGTGGGACGTCTAAGTGGTTGTATTAGCATGTCGGCAGCTGGGGCATATATGTGCGGTGCGCTAGTCCGTGATAGGCAGCCTAGGGCCAACAGTTTCACCCTGCCAACTTTGATATTCCTCCCACATACTGCAGGAATTAAAAGGCAATTATTAGTAATGTTTGTCGTCATCTCGGGAAATTCTTTTCTGGAAATGGTAGATCAGTGCGTTTCTGTAGATCTAGCGTATGCTGTTCTGTGGGGTCGATTTTGGTGCACCATTTTTGAGTCCTGAAAACAGTTCCATCTCGAAACGCTGCTTTCCATATGGTTCAGGTTCGTTTCGCAACTCGGCCAACATATCCGTGCCCGGTGGAAAATCATGCTCGAATATTGGTTCACCCGCACCTTGCATGTTCGCTAGAACTGCCTGTCGGAAATGCCAACGTAACAGTGCATCAGAAACGCGGTGGGGGTCTTGTGGGTTACGGCAGACAGGATCCAGGATCTTATCATCCAGTCCGAACGGATCAGGACCAAAATAGGTGATTTTATAGCCGTCCTGTTCGAGGTTTGTTAATAATAGCCTCATTGTAGTCTTGGTTACAGAATACTTGCGTACATCCGGGTTGATTGAAAACAAATAATTATTAAAGTCCGTGTGGAAAGTAGCCTGCAGCAGCAATCCATTTTGAATGGAATTGATTCCTGAGCCTCCAGTTGTGCTGTCCATGTCTGTAATCCACCGTCCGTAATTGAACTCCGTCCAGATGCTTTCACAGGCCAGTGGAAATATATGGGCCGCTTCGAAGCCAGACCACGTATTCCACGGAGCGCGAATGTTCACAACGCCGGATACCACACACTTTCCATCGCGCGCGCGGACACCGTCACGAAATGCATCCACTCGACCGGATACACTGTGACTAATGAGTCGAGCGACCCATGGTTCGTTGTTCACGCGAATAGAGCCTGAACTTATTAGCCGTGTTTGCTTGTGTGAAAAAGTGATGACCTACTTTGACAGTAAATGTCGTATTCGCCAGGTTGAAGAGCAGCATCTGTTGGGCCGATCGTAATCCAAGAATCTCGATGTTTCACACTCCACTGATCATCGACGGCAAAAAGAACTCCATCTAAGATTGACAAAAGATTCGCTCCTGTCATTGAGCCGTTTTGATAAGTCCCTCCCAGTAAATTGCCAGTGGAAGCCTCATAGAGCCAGACGTTTCTCCAAGACGCTCGATCAACGGGCATTGTATT